AAAAAAAAAGAGTAAGGTGACAGTTTCCTCTAGTTTGGAGATGCTGTGATGAGGCTAGGTTCTGGATAGAGTTGAGGCTTTTCAGCAAACAGTAGCTTTTCCCCAAGGCTCTAGCTTGTGAGAAACTCACAGAGCCCAGCCTGGAGCCATTCTCAGTGTTTATGTTTACTGAATTTCAAGTGATTGTCAAGGCTGCTGTAGGGAGGGGCAGCATCTGGCTCAGTTTACATTGTAAAGAAAGCCCCTCCTGGGGTTGGAGGCTGGGGTACGTTGAGTTTTCCCTGGCAGATTTGAGCCTGGCAGGTCGTTAGTTTCCTGGGACCTGCTAAATGACTCTTGTTTTCTTCCAAGGCTTGAGCTGGAGCTAGCTGTTCAGCCAGGCCTTTGTCAGTATCAAAAATGGAGATCTCCAGTAGTGGTGGGGGAGAGGTGGTATTCCCTCCTCTACTCCCTGAGAAGGAGTGAGGATGTCAGCCTTCTATTCACGCAGGAATCTTGGATCCTGGGTCATCTCTGGTCTGTGAACTGCAGGATGAAGATGTTGGCTCCTTGTCAGTTCTTGCTGGTGTTGAGTAGAATCTGCTCGTCCACCGCATCTGGAGCCTTTGTCCTGGACTCTCTGTGTTGCAAGTATGGCGGCATTGGCCGCTGTTGATGCTGCTGCCACAGCTGCGGCTGCTGACAAGTGCTCAGATCTGTCTCCTTGCCTGGATTTTTCTCTGGCCTAACTCTCTGTATTGTGATGGCACACTTGGTATGATTCTCTGGCTTAGGACTGTTCACTGGAACACTAAAACTGCTTTCTATGTGAAAGCTTGTTTAGCCTCTAGCTTCTCCTCCACCATCTTCCCGGAACCTATGTTTTATTTTTTTGTATTACTTTAAGGTTTTACTAGTATGTGTAGTTAAAATGGGTTTCAGTCAGTTAGTTTTATGTGGCCATATAAAGTCTTTTGTCTAAATTCCCTTGTATCCATTCCATTTTATTTCCTCTAAAAATTTAAATCATCCTAATAGCCTCCATTACTATATTCTCCTTCATTCATATGAAATTTCCAATATTTGATAGAATATATGTGAACTATTTTAAAGCAACAAAAATCAGATAAAAACATATGGAATTTGATTCTCAATATCACACACACACACACACACACACACACACATGCATTTAGAAGATAGGTAAAACATTACTCAAAGGCCAAATCCATTCTACTGCTGATGAATAAAGTTTCATTATAACCAAATAAAAATCTTTCATATGGCTACATTTTCCTTCTTTTTAAGTCTGTTTTTCTACAGATTTATTTGTGAACTTTTCCATGTGTTTACTTTCTCCTTGGCTCCCATCCATCAATTCTTACTTCAACATATCAATCCATTCATGTGTACATTCTTTTTATTTCTTCATTTTATTTAAAAGTGTTGTGTAAAATTACTGAAATCTGAACTCAGAAAAAATTAGCAAGGACTGCAAAATAATATACAAAAGTCAATAAAACCACATATTCTCCCATCAATTTCCCATCACACAATGAAGATTCTGCATTTTACTCAATGATACAAAATCTATTAATGAAATTCCTTCAATAAACAAGGAAGATAGCCAAAAATGCAATAGAAACTGATGAGTATTTTGATTATATATTGATTAACAAAATGAGGAAGTTGAAAATCAATTACATTTGCATTTGTTAACCAACATGCCTTCAAAAAACGAATAAGCACACAATGTATTTTGCCAAACATTGTTTTATTGTCAACCAAAAATTCAGTTCATAGAAAGCTATGATGTTACTTAACTATGTATTTATAGGTAGCTATGGTAAGGTATTCAGCCATGTATCTTTTAAAGATTTAAAGTGAGAAGAGGTTTGAAATCAGCCTGGGGAGGTAAGTGTCCGAGACTCTTATTTCCAGTAAAAGACCAAACAGCTAGCAATGCAGCTGTCATTCAACTGGTAAACAATCTTTGAGTGAAAAACGTAAAGGACAGTATAGGCCCTGAGAACAAGTATGCATAATGAATCAAATTATTATCAGAAGAAACATGTAAAGAACTCTTGAACAGGCAAGAAATGAGTGCAATTGTGTCTGGATCTCTTAAATATATAATTCTGTAAACATAATATAGAGCCAACTAAATCAACCTATATGAAACAATAAGTAAAGATTGTCTTGTCAAGGTTTTGAAAGGTGGCAAATAAAAATTTTCCTATTTGAAAAGATGGTATGTAGTGATATTACAAGAAATAATCATATATTTTAAATATTCAAAATACTTGGTGTCAAATTAATGCAGTGATTAATCAACCATAAAATAAAAAAGTAGGCAAAAAGGGGCTTATTATTATGTGCAACAGACTTTAATCTTCAGAGGAAATTGTGGAGGTGGGGAGGGAAGGGATGGTAGGGGAAAAACAAAGGAGGAGGCAACAAGGTAATGCACTCATTACCTTGCTCATGTAACCATAACCCCTCTGTACTGTTTTTTGTACAAATAAAGAGAAAATTTAAAATATCTCATACATTGTAACCTTAAATCAAAGTGTATTTTTGTAGCATAGACAAGTCATATGAGTGGGAAGAGGAAGAAAAGGAGGAGATGGAGAGACACAAAGAAAAGGAGAGACTGGGACTTTGAGAAAGGTCCCACAAAAGAGAGGATAATTTGAAGGTGTAAATGTGTGAGTAGAAATATGCAAGTATTGAACAAAATACTCTCTAAGGACAACATTAAAAGATGTAAATTTGTGAAGAGGAAAACATTAATGAAATGGATTTGAGGACTTTGCAACATAGTGGTGTGTGGACAGGAAGTCAATATAATGAAACATTTAGAAGAGTTATTGAGAAGCATAAGAGTGAAAAGACGTGAAGAAGAGGGGATAATAGAATTAAGTGCATATTTAAAAGTAGGAACAAAAAATATAGAATCAAAACTCCAATTCAAATTGTGGTCACAATAACTTGTTAATACCACTACTACAAAAATGTACACTAGATCCTTATTCTTTGACATATAAATTCCATAATATAAACTATGACAGGAAGAGATAATTACTGTATATTTAGATCAGATCTTCTGTATACTAATCAAACCTATGTGCTTAAACTTAAGAATGCTTATTTATCCTACTGCTTTTTATCTCTGAAGACATGCAGAGAATTTCTATTTGGTATTAATAAGATGTTGTAACACTTTGGGACAAAAATGCATCCCAGAAGACCCGCACTGGAGGCCAAGATGGAGAAGACCTCCACAGCCACCATGACCTTCCCTTTGGCACTGTGGTAGACAGGCAGGAAGGTGAGCCACACACTGCAGAACACCAGCATGCTGAAGGTCAGGAACTTGGCCTCATTGAAGGTGTCAGGCAGGTTCCTGGCCAGAAAAGCCACAGTGAAGCTGGCCAGGGCCAGGGAGCAAAGGTATCCCAGGACACAATAGAAAGCAGTGAGGGAGCCTTTGTTGCACAGGATGATAATGTGGCCATGCTCAGAGTATGTATCTGTGTCCACAAAGGGAGGAGAGGTTCCCAGCCAGAAGCCACAGAAGGTCACCTGGATAAGGGTGCAGATGGGGATGATGAAGTTAGGAGCCCCTGATACCAGTAGCCACCTCATCTTTCTCCCTGGAGAAGTGGCCTTGAAGGCCAGGACCACAATCACCGTTTTGACCAACACTGTGGAAATTGCCACAGTGAACACAACCCCAAATGTGATCTGTTGTAAAATACAGGTAAATGTGTTTGGATGGCCAAGAAAGAGCAAGGAACAGAGGAAACAGAAGATGAGGGAGATGAGCAAGATGTAGCTGAGAGCACGGTTATTAGCCTTGACAATGGCAGTGTCTTGGTGTTTCAAAAATATCCCAAGAACAGCAACAGTTAGCAAGGAGAAGCAAAGAGCCGTACAGGCCAGAACCATACCCAAGGGATCTTCAAAGCCCAGGAAACTTGCTGTTCTCATGTGGCACTGAGTTCTCTGTATGTTGGCATACTGATGAACTTGACACTTCACACATTGCTCCATATCTGTTGAGACATGAACACTACCATTACATCGTTTTATGAACTGGTTTTCATCACTGAATTTAGGAATTTTTCACTTAGGTGAAATCCTCAAATGTCAGCATTTACAATCTTAAAAGTTTTTTGTTGTATTTTTCCCAAGCCATAATCTTGTCCCATTTTAATCTTCTTTATTTAGACTTTTTATTGTCAAGGTAATGTACAGAGGGTTTACAATTACATAAGTAAGATAATAAGTACATTTTTTCAAACTTGTTACCCCTTCCCTCATGTTTCCCCTATTAGAGTTTCCTATTAGAGTTTAGACTTGTCATAATGATTAGTGATAAGAAGGATCCCTGGAGATAACTGTGCCTGAAATATTACTAAAAATATAATTCAAAGTCATGATCTATCATATTACAATTAGCAAAACCAACTCTTGCAAGAATTTAATGCATAATTTTTGCTTTAACTTGTTTGGATTGAGGAAAACTAGGGAGAAGTAAAGGATTTCTTCATAAGTCATCGACTCACCTGTCCCATTAGCAATCTCATTTTCTGGGCAAGATGTACAATCAAAGCAACAGGCAGCCTTTCCCTCCTGAGGGGATTTCCTGAATCCAGGACCACAGCTCTCACTGCAGACAGAGTGAGGAGTCTGAGGAAAGACAGGGTTGTGCCAGTGACTGTTCAGACACATATCAAACACTGCAAAAATCCATTGTTTTAAAGAATGCAGGTAAGTGCAGTCAATTTATTGAAATCTGTTATTGGTTGCATATTCCATGACTCTCAAAGCCTATGTGCCTTGATTTCTATCTTGTTGAATTACTGAAAGGTATGGGATCTTTCAAAGCCTGAAAGTAGTGGTGAGAAAGTAATTTCTACTGTACAGCCCTATGGGATGTCCGTGAATTCATGTCACTATATGCTGTTTCCTACTCAACTGTGACATGTGGAAGAACAAAGAGGAAACCTCTACTTTATAGGGTTATATGAACCCCAGGGTCATCTTATCTTTCTTTTTGTTTTCTAGTGACCATGACATAACCCTCTTGTCACAGATGCCTTCAATGATTCCTCTAACCAAAGATAGTTAAATAGCAGCTCAATTAACCATTAAATAAACCTCCACAGAAGGGAGCAAAAGAAACCTTTCAACCACATAAATTAATTCTTCAGGTACTTGATCACAGTGTAGATACCTACTGATATAAATGTAATTTACATCTTATGACAATATTCAAAATCAACATGTAGAAACCCACTTAACTCTTTTGTTTCTGTTCCTGGGGTTGAACACAAGTCCTGGGCACTGGACTTGAGCTATTTTTGCTCAAGGATAGTATTCCACTACTTGAGTCACAGGTCTACTTCAAGAATTTGGGTGGTTAATTGGAGATAAGAATAACATAGTCTTTCCTGTGTGAGCGGATGCAAAACTATGATATTTCCCATTTCAGTTCTATTAGTTGCTAGGATTGTAGGAGAAGTTTGCTGGCACTCAGCCAGGTATAAATGTAAAGGGTGACTCTTGCTGATTTTGTGTGGTTAAAATTATTAGGATTAGATCCAACCCACCTCTGTAGTTCCAATGGCCCATTCTACCATATCTTCATATAAAGACAGTTGATTGGCATGTGGAGCATATGGAGAAAACTTCCCTATTCTCACTGCAAGTTCCAGACCTTCTGGAAAATTCCAAATGTTCAGAATGTCATACTCTGGCTCCAAATTCCTTTTCATCTCCCAAATTATTTGATCTCTAGTAGGATTGAAAAACGGGATGTTCTTCAGAAAATTATGCAGCTAAAAGAGAGACATCATCTTATGGTGAAGTGAATCCCAGAGATAGCACAGAAAACCTGAAGTAAGAAACACTCCTTATTGCCTTTAATCTTTGATTCTGAATACAAAAAAATGTAGAGACACATAATCAAGTATCTCAGGAGAAAATGTATGGAGGAATAAAATAATTACCCTGAAAAATAATCTTTCCTGATCACTCAGAAAAAGAGTAGAAGAACTTTTTTTTCCAGAGAAATAATTTTACTCCATCTTGCAGCATCATTATTTTGTGAATGTCTCTAGCTTGAGGTTCCTAAATGTTTAATTCCAAAAGTTGAATGAAACTTTGTCACTTAGGAAAATATTGATAATTTTGTTCAGTAGGTCATCCTTTGCTATGACTGCAGAAACTCGTAGGGAACAGCTCAGTGTGCAGTTTTCAAAACACTAGCTATGAACATGTTGAAGTTGTTAGTAAAGCAACTCATGAGCCAGTTGCTGGCGGCTTACAGATGTAATCCTAGCTACTCAGGCAGCTCAGATGAGAGATTCATGCTCAGTAGCCAGCCTGGGCAGAAAAGTTAGTGAGACCCAATAACAATTTAGAAAAATCCAGAAGAAATGCTGTGCTCACGTCATTGAGAACTAGCCTTGAGCACAAAGAGCCCAGGGGATATAGCCCACGCAGTGTGTTCAAGTCCCTGTTCTGGCCAAAATTATTTTATACCAATATGGAATATATTTTGTCCTTGTAAATGGCCTGTTATTTTCTTAACAGCATATTGCCACATGTCTAGAGTACCTCAAAGACATTGAAACATAAAAAAATCATATAGGATTTTTAAAGCACCTGAAATATTTAATATTTTAAATCTGAATTTAAATTTGTTCAATATTGTGCTTATAGTTTCTGAAAATAGAAAGGAAAAACTTAAGAGTTGAGAAAATTGCTTCAAATACTGAAATATTCATTAATTCCAGCAATCAATTTATGTATGACATATAAATACAAACATATATATTTGTATATATAAACACACAACATATATATACATATACAGAAACAAACATGCATGTTTACAGAAAATATTTAATTTCATACTATAAGCAACCCCTCTTGAAAATGCCTTTGCTCATAGTGTGTGTGCTCCAACCAAGAAGAAATTACCTTTGCAGGTGAAGTCACTGTTTCCTTTCTATTTCCCATTGTTTGAACTTCTGTTTGATGAAGAAGCATCTCATGGAGAGCCTGGGCTACAGCATACACTGTGTTGTATACATTGTAACTGTCTCCAGACATTTTCGTGTCAAAAATATGCCCAGGCAACAAATCTAAAGAGGCATCCTGAGCACAGTTGTCCCATGCCACACAGTCACACTCAGAATATGAGCAATTAAATGACAGAAACCACAGCCTGGCAAGAAAAATGTCTTCTGGGTATTTGGAAGGCTTAACTGCCTTGACAAAATCTATGAATCCAGAAACTTCTACATGATGATGTACAAAAATCAGAGGTACATGCAATGACCCTATCATGAAATATTTCCTCTTCATGGTGAAATCCCATTGAGAGTTCATGATACAAACTTTGCCATGCATAAAAATTTGCTCAATAAATACCATTAAAAGTATCAGTGAATCATTATCACCATATATGATGAGGACACTTGCTGAAGATAGATTTACCTCGCTATGAACTGCCATGAGTTTGAATATATATGACACGTCTTGGCTTAAGATCACTAGCTCATAGGCTACACAAACTCTGTTTCTGGCCATCTCATCTTTCAATTCAGCAAGAACCCATGCACCATTCTCAACTTGTGAGGTCAACAGTCCCACCCAGCTCCAGCTGAAGTGAAGCAGTAAAGAGACCATGGCAGTTGCTATTGACGTATCCTTTGGGGCCATCTGATAGAGAGCAGGAAACTTGTTATGGTCACTCAGGGCATGATCAAAAGGCCCAAAGGTAAACTACAGAGAAAGAAAATTGGACACTCCATGAATGAGAAGATTGTCATGCATCACAATCTCAGTCTTGAATTCTGTTAAGAACCAGTTGAATTAGATAGAAGGAAGGTTTTGTTTTATTTTTTGAAAAAATAATTTAATTGTTTTTGAAATGTTGCACAACATATCAATTGACTTGTAATTGTCTCTTGATACTTGTCACTATTTCCATCAACTCATCCCAACCTAACCCACTCCTAATTCCATTTTCATATATGCCCATTGTATATCATGTTGCTTTTTATCACCCATTTACTCCATATTCCTTTGCATTTTTCCTTTAGTGCCTACTCCACTCAGATAAGACATGTTTCACTTTTCTGGTATTCATTTTTATACTGTCAGTAGATCATAAAAGTTACATCATAGAGTTCTACCAATCTTTATACCATACTTTAGTCAGATTAATCATATATCTATTGATGTATCTATCAATCTATCGATCTATTTATCTATATATGTGTCTATATGGTGTTCCATAGTTATTTCATGTTACATGTTCATATTTTAGATTTAACTTTCACATTTGAGAGGACACATTTACCCTTTTGTGTTCTGATCCTGATTTACCTCATTCAACATAATACCTTTCGTGTGTGTGTGTGTGTGTGTGTGTGTGTATATATATATACATGAATGCCAGTACAGGGGCACAAACACATCGGCTCTTGAACTTCCATGGCAATTTCCTTGAAGACTTGTGTTGTACCAATGGAGTGACACATTCACCTTGTTCCCTTTGTGGGTATCTTTGAAGATATGAGTTTCCTGATTAGCTAGGAAAATATGTGTGAGCCATAAGTATCCTCAATATCTTCACACTGGTATGTCATTTTAAATTTCCTGATTTATTAAAGTAAATTATTGTCAAGACTTGAAACAATAAATTATCCATTTGTGTGCTAAAATCTATCTTTTTCCAAAGTGTGAAAATATATATTTCCAACTCTCTTTGAGTAAATACTCTTTGATACCACAAAACTTGATGGGTTCAAAAATACAATATCTCCCTATCATTCTCTTCTATCACCTGAAATGCCACCAAATAAGACATTATTGTATCCTTCCACACATGGTACCCTCACCTGTGGAAATCTGTAGAGTCCTAGAAATGTCCCAATCTGGTCAGATGTTATGCCTGATGGTCCTGTCAGTACTGCTATAGATCTGCTGTCTCTCATACAGGAGTAGTTCGGAAACATATACTTCCCAAAGAGACAAATGAAGAGATTCTTAAACATTGTCCAAGTTCTGAATTCAACATCATAGATATCATATCCCAGAGTCAAGTTATGTAAAAGATCAGGATTTTTGTTGATCTCCTCAATAGCAAAAGCCAAGGCCAAAACACACTGGTAGTTCTTGAAGATAAACCTACATAATGAGGAAAGAAATTGAGTAGGAGTACTTCAAAACTTAAGACTTTGACACATTAAATGCTTGCTTCGTTTTCAAAGAATATGTTAAAATATTACCTCAATAAGAATGGGAGATGAATGTAGTGTAGTATGCTTGTATAAAGATCTACTTAAGGACATGAAGGGCATTGGTCATGAATGAGATTCAGATACTTATTTAAGGTGAGGGAGAGCTTGTTTCCCCCTTTACCACATGCACCACAACAAAAGGCTGTTGTCTTGGATTCAGTTTTTATGAGACAGCAAATGTTTGTTGTGTTGCCTTTACATTAAGGCAACTAGCCATACCTGTGTTGAAAATAATTCTGTGTTTATAGGCATGTCAGGCTAACTAAGGAATGTTTAATTTAACTTCAATATTCAGAAGCAGAGTGTTATTTATGAATGATTCTATAGCTAGCTCTGCTCACAGACCAACATATTGAATAGCTCTTATTCATAACAACCAGAAAAAAGAGCTGAACTATTGTGGATAGGGATTTTAATTTTATTTATCTAACAAAACAAAAGGGATGCATCCAATTTCAAGGAACTCAAGGGATGCATCCAAGTTCAAGGAACTCATTTTGGAGACAGGAAATCATGACATGATGGTTGAGAAGAAAATTGAAGGTAAGCTTTGCATAGTAATCCCAGTTTCAAAGCCTCCATTGTAAAATGTATTGATCACTACTCTCTTCCCAAAATAGATTGAGATACTGAAAAGTAATCACTAGAGCAAAAAAGAAAAAAGGAAAATCAAAGTACTTTTCCTTCTTTCTTTCTCTGTGTCCTGTCTGTGTGTGCCAAGGTATGTGTGAATATCTAGTGTGTTTGTGTGTGTTTACATGCAAGCTCATGAGTGGGCATATTCTAAAGAAACTACTGGTATTGTTTAAAAGGAAACAATGAAGGAGCAATGGAAATACTAATGAAACTATCATCTTGTTTCATATATACCGTATGTATATGTGAAGTGATCACAATGAAAGCCTGTCATATCATAAATTGTTCTAAATAGAAGAAAATAGTGAGTTTGAACATGCACATATGGAAAAATAAAATGAAGTAATGAAGATGTGTGAAAAGGTTTGTTGAAACTTGATGAGATTATTTTTAAAAAGCAAACATAGACTTGCATACAAAGTAACAGTCCTAAAGATGAAAGGATAATCAAATTTTTAACCATGACATCTATAGCAAGCTGTCTTAGCATGAAGCACAAACAAGTAGAACACATATACAGGGATGATTCTTTAAAGTAGAACAGAAATGGGACCTCTGTGGCATAGGTGTGCACCCATTTCTTTAGCATCTGACTCCTCAGTAGAGTCCATATAAGTCAACAGAACATGGCAAGAGATCTTTACAGTACTGAAGATAAAAAGTCTAAATTATCCACCGCGAGTATTGCACCTAACAAACTATACTGTAGAAATGAAGGAAGGATTCAGATGTTCCCAGAGAAACACAGTTAAGAGAATATGTCTCCACTAAACACTGCCTACATGAAATACTAAAGTTTTTCAGACCACAAAACAGATACATTAATGAACAAGAAAAATATACAAGAATGTATACCCTGTTTCCTATGAACACAATAAAAGTTGTGTACAACAGCAAATGAATCACAGAAAATATTCAAACTCATGGAAACTGAGCCACTCATTGATGATTGTTCAGGAAATCTTTAAAGAGAGAGATAATACTTAATCATTTCTTGAATTCAATGTGAAAAAAAACACATAAAATATCAACTCCATTGACCCACAACAAAGGCAGTTCTCAGAGGACAATCCATGTCTGTAAGTGCTTGCACCAACCAATTAGAAAAAATCTCAAGTCAATACGATAATGATGCACCTCAAAGACAGAACTCATACTTCCAGGAAGATGGTGAGACAATCATATGTAAACTCTTTAGATGTGTCTAGCCCTGACAAAACAGCTATTTAGATTCCCTGCATCCACTTAACCTCAAGACATCCACACCAATCAAACTTTAAACAGATAAAGACTCATTCAAATACAGAAGATATCTCTCAGCATAAACACAGGAGCAGAAGACAGTAAGGCAGCATGCAGACCACTGCTGAGTGGCTGCAGCCTCTGCCCCTAGTCTCCTCAGGCAGCTCAGGGAGAGCAAGAAAAACCTACCTAAAGTTCCACTAACCAAACTTTAAACAGAGAACGGTGTCATACTGAAGAAATCATGCCACAAAGCACTAAACCTAGAAACACAAAGAGGGAAAACAGGGCAGACATCTAAATCAGCTTGGGAACCTCATGGAGAGGCTGATGCTGCTATCACACAACACAAAGAGGAGATTGAGAATGATACATCCAGACACAGAGGCCCATCAAGAAGACTCCTGCTGCCCAGCTCAAAACAGAGGCTCTGGAATCTGTGAGTACCTCATAGGGGACTCCTTCCTTGGAGGACCAGTTCCAGGCAGTGGTATAAATAGCCAATAATAAGGCAATTGAATTGGCAATAAAGGCCACCACGAAAAGCTCAGGACCAGATGTATTCACAGCAGTAATCTATAAATTCTTCATACATGAACTCACTCTATATTCCTTAAACTCTTCAATGAATTAGAAAGGGAAAGATCGCTACCAAAGTCATTCTGTGAAAACAACATAATACTCATCCCCAAACACATAGAAACCCATCCGTCAAAGAGAACTATTCCTTTGATGGACATTGATGCAAAACTTCTCTACAAAATTCTAGCAACCTAATTGAACAAGTAATCCAAAATTTAAAAAGCCTCATACATTATGTTCAAATGGGATTCGTTCCAGGATTGCAAACCTGGCTCAATATACACAAGTCAATCAATGTAATTCAACACATCCATAGAAGTAAAGAACCATATGATCATCTCAATATACTAAGTAAACTCATTTGAGAATATTTAATACTTTTATGATAAAAACTCTACAGAAGCTATGAATCCATGAAAGGTTCCTCAATATAATAAATATCTATGACAAACCTACAGACGGTGTTATACTTAAGGGAGAAAATTAAAACCATTCCCTCTAAATTCAGAACAACACAAGGATGTCTACACTCTCTATTCCTCTTGAACACACTGCTGGAATTCCTAGGAAGAGAAATAAGGCAACAGAAACACATAAATAGGATCCAAATAGGGAAAGAAGTAGTAAAGGTATTTCTCTTGGTGGACAATATGATCCTATATTGAAAGAATACTATAGATTCTTCACCCCAAGCTACTTAAATTGATTAAAAAGTTTGGCAAAGGAGCAAGGTATGAAATCAAATCACAAAAATCAGTAGCCTTCCTGTGTGCCAACAGTGAGAAGAGTGATACTGTAATCAAGAAAGCAACGCCATTTGTCATAATCTTACAAAAATACTTAAGAGAGGGAAACCATGGGACTTACGTTTCTATCTCTTAAGTATTTTTGTAAGACTATGACAAATGGAGTTGCTTTCTTGATTTCAAGTAGTATATGTCTGAGACAAGCAGAAACAATCAGATAGGTTGATGTTAGTTAAAATGAACCCCAAGATAAGGACTCAAATGTTTTTTTTCTTTCTTGCTATTGTTTCTAACATATTTATAAGATGATTCCTTTGTTGCTTTGTATGTCCCTCCCCCATGGTACAATCCCTGTTCTCACTGTATTTGATGTTGGTATAATTTGTGGAGGGGAAGGGAAAAAACAAATTGTTTAAATAAGGATACAGGTGGGCCCATTGCAACAATGAGATGTACAAGACCTTATGTGAAAAAATGAACTTTACAACTTTGGCGTGGGGAGGGAGTAGGAAGGGAGGGGAAATGGGAAAGGATGGTAAGTGGAAACAAAGGAGGAGGCAACAATGCTTTATAAGAAATGTATTCATTACCTTGCTCATGTAATTGTAACCCCTCTGTACGGTATTTTCACAATTAAAAAAAAAAAGAACTCTTCACTATCCCTAGATTTCAGAAAAGTTTAGTTTCCCCCTCTGTACAATATCTTTGTAATTAAAAAAGAAAAAAATACATATGAATTAACTTAACCAAAGATGGGAAGGATTTATATTGTGAAAACTTTGAAAGCTCTTAAAAAGACATTGAAACTGACAAGGAAACGGGAAAACATACCATGTTCCTGGTTTGGAAGAATTAACATCATGAAAATACCAATTCTACCCAGAGCAATATACAAATGAAATATCCATCAAAATTCCAGCAACTTTCTTCAAAGAAATAGACAAATCAATCAAAAATTCATATGGAATAATTAAAGATCTAAAGTGACAAAAATAATATCCTTAGCAGGAAGAACAGTGAAGGAGGAAGATCACTTCCAAAGTTGAAGCTTCATTACAAAGACATAGTAATAAAAAAAAACTTGGTACTGGCCTGAAGCCCAATCAAACAGAAGACATAGAAACAATCACACAATCGTATACCCACCAATATTTGATAATAGAACCAAAGCACAGCTTCCAAGAAAGATAGCCTCTTACACAAAGAGTGCTAGCAAAATTGACTATCTACATGCAGAAAACAGAAGCTATATGCCCATATATCTCATTGCACCAAAATCAACTCTAAATTGATCAAAGACCTCAATGTAAGGCAGGACACAAGAAGGCCTAGAGAAACAGCCAAGGGTTAAACATTCTAAACAAAGATCCAGAATCACAAAAATTCAAAGAAAGAATGGATAAATGGGGCCATATTAAACTCAAGAGTTTCTGCGTAGCAAGGGACATAGCTAGGAAGATAAATGAATAGTCCACAGAATGGGAGAAAAATCTTGACTAGCTATATATCAGACAAAATGGTTCTATCTAGCATATACCTAGAGCTCAAAAAATTACACCACAAAACAAAACTCCCTATCTCAACAACCCAATCAAAGAAAGAGCCAAAGACCTTAAGAATGACTTCTCAGAGGAAAACAAAATGGTCAATAGATAGATGAAGAAGTAAGTGTGTTCAGCAC